ATAATTTAATATGAAAAAAATGGGAGAAAATACGTTTTTTTTGGATTTTTTTAGTTCTACATGACATTTTAACGGTCAATGTCATAATACTGTTTACTTTTACTGCAATAAAATACACATATTTATATTCAGTAAAGTCTCACGTGTAAGACAGTACCCCCTATGTACAGGTTTTATGGCGTTTTGGGAAGTTACAGGGTCAAATATAGCACGTTACATTTGAAATTGAAATTCGCCAGATTGGTTACGTTGCCTTTGGCACTTTATAGAAGCCCAGGAATGAAATTTACACCCTTAATGGCATACCATTTGCAATAGTAGACAACCCAAGGTATTGCAAATGGGGTATGTCCAGTCTTTTTTAGTAGCCATTTGGTCACAAACACTGGCCAAAGTTAGCGTTCGTATCTGTTTGTGTAAAAAATGCAAAAAAGGCCAATTTTGGCCAGTGTTTGTGACTAAGTGGCTACTAAAAAAGACTGGACATACCCTGTTTGCAATACCTTGGGTTGTCTACTATTGCAAATGGTATGCCATCATAGGGGTAATTTTCATTCTTGGGCTACCATAGGGTCTCAAAGGCAACGTAACCAATCTGGCGAATTTTAATGTGAAAAAATGAAACGCAAGCCTTATATTTGGCGCTGTAACTTTTGAAAACACCATAAAACCTGTACATGAGGGGTACTGTTGTACTCGGGAGACTTCGCTGAACACAAATATTTGTGTTTCAAAACAGTAAAAAGTATCACAGGAATAATATCGTCCGTGTAAGTGCTGTTTGTGCGTGAAAAATGCAAAAACTTCACTTTTACTGGCGATATCATCGTTGTAATACATTTTACTGTTTTGAAACACTAATATTTGTGTTCAGCGAAGTCTCCCGAGTAGAACAGTACCCCCATGTACAGGTTTTATGGTGTCTTGGAAAGTTATAGGGTTAAATATAGTGCTAGCAAATTAAATTCCCTTTACTTTCGGCATGGGTTGTCAGGCAGGTCCTGCTAATTGTAATTAATTAAGATACCTAATTATGTAAAAATATTACATAAATATATATGTAGAATTAATATATGTATATATATACGTATGTGTATATATATATGTATATATCTATATAATTTTTTTAAAATATTTTTATTTATATATAGGTATATATATAGTGATATATACGTATATATTTATGTATATAGATATATATATTATTTCGTTCTACGTGTATTTTGATATATATATATATATATATATATATTCACAAAACAGTTAGAACGAAATAACACACATCTATATATTTTTTAATTATTTATTTTTAATTATTTTTTTAATTTTATTTTTTAACGTATTTACATTTTTATTTTTTTTATATTATATATAAATATATATATAACAATAATTATATATATATTTAATCAGTATCAGTCTACGTGTAATTTGATATTAATATATATATATAATTATATATATATTAATAGTAAAATACACCTAGACGGTGTATGTGTGTGTATGTATATGTGTATATATATACTTAGATCATATATATATAATATATATATATGATCTAAGTATATATAATTATTTTTTTTTACACCATTAACTTATTTTTATTTTATTTTCAGCCAGCAGGGGGACCACCTGTCATTACAGGCAGCCCCCCTGCCGGCAATACAGAAGCCAGCTATCCCGGCCATGTGATTGTGGGGTCCTCGCTAGGACCCCACTCTCACATGGCCGGGGGGCTTCGACGAGGACGGACGTGCCGCGGGGGGCTCCCTGGGAGTCCCCCCAACCGCGATCGCCGGCGTGGGACCGCCGGCGACCGGGTAAGTTAACAAAAACCGGAGGGCGTACAATTACGCCCGGCGGCGTTTAGAGCCGCCTATTAGAGGGCGTAATTGTACGTCCTCCGGTTTTAAGGGGTTAAAATAACATAAAATACCTAAAAATTAAAACTACAGCTGAGCCATAAAATAGCACTAGATGGAATCTTTGATTTTAGCTTTGGAAGAACATAAATTTAAATCTAAAGCATGGCTGTCAGGAGGATCACCAGAATTATCCATTTGAGAGAGGGTTGGAGTGCAGGGTATTCTCTTTCATTGTTCAAACTGAGCTCAAATCCTGATGCATGGAGAAAAAGTCTTCACAAGCCTCTGCTATTGTGTACATAGTTTATACTAAGTGACCCATAGGTTGAGGAGGCGGTGATCGTGGCGGTGTAGGTGGAAGCAGCGGTGGAGGAGGAGGTAGCCAACACTGTTTTTTTATTTTTTATTTTTTTAAATTGGGGTAGCCCCCAAAATATTGGGACATATAAAAAAAGAAACATTTGCGGCCTGCAGTGCATTTCTTGCAGTCCAATAACGCCATCAGGTTTTTAAAACTGTCTGTCTCCACCAGACGGAATGACAGCATTTCAAAGGCCAGGAATTTTGGGAGATGGACAGCTGAACGCTTCCATGGGACAGGATGGAGATGCCGGACAATTGTGTACCTAGCCTATGCTGGTGCAGGAACCCACCCTTCAAGCCACTTTTGAATGACTGGCCTGATAACCATGGAAATTACCCCTCTTCCTCCTGTGCCACATCCTCTTCCATCATCGCATTTTTTCAAGGAGATGTAGAAGTCGGATAGTAAGGCTGAGAACGGCGTCATTAGCACACTCATTGGTGGTGAAGTGGTGCTGTTCCGCAGAGTGAATGACCCGTGCGTGCTGCAGCTGAAACTCCACTTTGCTGGAGAGACTGTGCTGCTTGCACAGTCTCTCCAGCACGTGCAAGGTGGAGTTCCACTTTGTGGGCACATCGCATATGAGGCGGTGAGCGGGAAGGCCGAAGTTACACTGCAGCGCAGACAGGTGAGCAGCAGCAGTTTGAGAACGCTGAAAGTGCACAGACGGCCCGCACTTTTTGTAGCAGCTCTGATATATCTGTGTAGTTTTTCAGAAATTTCTGCACCACCAAATTCAGAACATGCACCAGGCAAGGGATGTGCGTCAAACCGGCTAGGCCCAGAGCTGCTACGAGATTTCGCTGATTATCGCACACCACCAGGCCGGGCTTGAGGCTCAGGGGCAACAACCATTTCCATGCCTGTCCACAGCTCCTGTGCGGTGTGGGTTTTTCCCCTCAAACATATGAGTTTTAAAACAGCCTGCTGTCGTTTCCCCTGGCTGTGCTGAAGTTGGTGGTGAAGGTGTTACGCTGACCAGATGAGGAGGTGGTAGAGGAGGAGGGGGCAACAGGAGGCAAAGCTGTGTACCCAAATAAAGATTGTCAAACATTGTATCCTGGAACTGTGTCCCATCCGGTTACTGGGGAAATGGATCTGACCTATTCTAATCAAAGGGGATAACCATTGGTTACCCAGGTCCCTCTACAATTGGTGGCAAGCGGCGGGATCCCATGTCCCTGCCAACAAACCCATGGACTACAGTGCTCTAAAGTGACCTACACTGCAGGACTTGTGTGGAGCCATAGGAATAACCCCTGGTGGGTGTCACAAAGCCCAAATTACTGCTGCGCTCATGGAGGATGACCAGGCACGCAGTGAGGCAACGAACCCCTGCCAGGGGCCGGAGATGAGGAGGAAGTGCGCAAGGAGGTAGACTGGCGCCTGGCATACTACCAAGAGCCACCCTCAGAGGAGATCATCAGCAGGACCTCTTTGGTGGTGCAAGCCTATGTCCTTGCCAATAGACAGAGGGTGACCTCCATGAACCCAGATGAAGGAAGAAGGGAGCAGAGGGAGCCGGGAAGCACAATCACCCTGGCCCACAAGCTACCATACAATGCCTTCAAAGAGTTCAAGGAAGCAGAAGAAGGCGTCAATTACTTTTTACAAGACTTTGAGCGCCAGCACCTACTCCAAGACGTGGACCCCAGCAACTGGGTCACCATCCTGGCCAGCAAACTAGTGGGAAAGCCAGTGGATATTTACCGGGCTGTACCAGAAGAGCAGATCAGAGACTATCCCTTTATTACACAAATCCTCCTGGCCCGGTATGCGGTCACCCCCGAGCAATACCACCGAAAGTTTAGGGAGACCCGGAAAGGGGAGAAGGACTCCCATGCATCACAAGGGCCACCCAGAACTGGCTCAACTCCCATCAAGCCAAGTTCCTGGAGTAAATCACCCAGCTCGTCATTCTAGAGCACTTTTTCAATGGGCTCCCCAACGACACGGCTGGTGAGAGACCGCCAGCCACAGACCCAAGAAGTATTGGTATGAGCTGCTGAAGCTAGCTCACAATATCCCTGTTGGCAGGGCATGTGGGCAGGAGCCGGACAGCGTCTCTGCTCACCCAAAGCTTCTTCTGGCCAGACATCTCTCAGGATCTGAGGCAGTACTGCCAGATGTCTGCCAGAGAGTGGGGAAGAGAAGGGACCGGCACAGGGCCCCCCTCCAGCGCCAACCTATTAGTGAAGATCCGTTCGACAGAGTAGCTGTCGACATTATAGGTCCCCTATCCAAGCCTAGTCCCTCTGGGAAGAAGTACACTCTAACCATCGTTGACTACACGACTCGGTACACTGAGCAGTATTCGGGCAGAGACTGTGGGTGAAGCCTTGATGTGAGTGTTCTCCCGGATGGGTTTTCCCTAGGAGATTCTCTGAGACCAGGGCACCCAGTTTACTGCCGAAATTACCTACCAACTGTGGAGATTGTGCACATTAAACCACTCCTGAGCTCCCCTTACCACCCCTAGACCAATGGCCTGTGTGAGTTTTTCAAAGGAACATTGAAGCAAATGGTCTGTACCTTTGCGGTGACTTTGTGGCCACAGGAATCGACTGGGTTCTCATCGTTCAAACTCCCATGCCATGGAACTCCTTGGAGCTGGCTTTGGTGTGCTCGGTCCCTGGGTGCGGTTGGCCATAGCAGGCGTACTGCTCCGCTTTTGCACCCTGCTCTAGGAGGAGGAAGTGGATGTGGAGTAGGAGGTTGAGGAGGCGGTGAACGTGTCGGCGATGACGCATTCGGATGTCTGTCCTATCAACTTTCGATGTTACTTTCTGCACCTACCATGGTGATCACGGGTATCCTGAGAAACGATTACCACATCCAAGGAAGGCAGCAGGCGTGCAAATTACCCACTCCTGATGCGGGGAGATAGTGACAATAAATAACAATACAGGACTCTTTCTAGGCCCTGTAATTGGAATGAGTCCACTTTAAATCCTTTAACGAGGATCTATTGGAGGGCAAGTCTGGTGCAGAGCGACTGACCTGTGCGTGCTGCAGCTGAAATTCCGCTATCGCCTGCTGCTGCTCACACAGTCTCTCCAGCATGTGCAAGGTGGAGTTCCACCTTGTGGGAATGTCGCAAATGAGGCGGTGAGCGGGAAGGTCTAAGTTACGCTGCAGCGCAGACAGGCGAGCAGCAGCAGGGTAAGAAAGTGGCAAAAGCGCGCACAGCCGCTACAGGGAAACTGTGAATGGCTCATTAAATCAGTTATGGTTCCTTTGATCGTTCCATCTGTTACTTGGATAACTGTGTTAATTCTAGCGCTAATACATGCCGATGAGCGCTAGGGGACATCTGCTCTGCTTTTGCACCCTGCTTCCTCTTATGCTGTGCTGGTGCCTCTGTGCGACCAGCGCCTCTTCCTCCAAACTGCACACATCACTCACATGACCTTTATTCCATGTGGGGTCATCATCCTCCACATCATCTTCCACCCACTACTCAACTCTGCCCTCTTTGCCGGTCTGCACACTGCAGAAAGCCGCAGCAGTTGGCACCTGTGTTTTTCCAGCAAGTAAAGTCTGCAAAGGACATATGGAAATTGTTTTAGAATTGTATCCAGGCAACAGTTTTCCCTATAAACTGACCTCTCAGTTTGACTTGTGAGGGTATTGCCCCAGAATTACAATATTGTTTAAGTACCCCTTAGCTATTGATAACTGGTTTAAATCTAGCAGCTTGTTATCTGGTAGTTTCTAGTGTAGAAAATATCAATCTGTTTTCTATTACTTAGATCTGTTTAACAAGTGTTGTAGTTGTGAAACAATATTACAAGTGACTGATGTAGTAAATTCAAATCAAAGTTCCATTTGCAAAAAAAATTGTCGCTCATCTTCTGTGGGTTATTGCATTTTTAAGATGTAGACTTATTGTTATCACACTAGCCATGCACAAGTAGATTGTCTGGCACGTTGTTTTGGTGTTTGGTTTTTAACTTTGTAGTTGTGTCTTTACACAATATAGAAATGTATATTAATGCTTCTGTATATAAAGCGATCACAATAACACTTATTTTTCACTTTTTTAAAAGTCTTTAGACTTTCTTGAGAAGCGATAACTAGCCAGTGTTGCACACATACATCAGATATGAAGTGCACACCCCAAATGTACTATTTAGCACCTAGAGAATTTGAATGTTTAAAAATGTGCTGTAACCACAGTATTTGACGGTTCTATTTGACTTTCAGATATGAAGTGCAGCCCCCAAATTTACTATTTATCACCTAAAGAATTTGAAATTTTAAAACTGCTATGTCACAGCATTATTTGACTGTTCTATTTGACTCTCAGATATGAAGTGCACCACAGCTTGCAAATGTACTATTTAGTACCCAAACTGCAATGTCACAGCAATATTTGACGGTTCTATTTGACTCTTAGATATGAAGTGCAGGCACCAAATATACTATTTTGCACACAAAAAATTCGAATTTTTAAAACTGTGCTGTAAGCACAGTATTTGACGTGTCTATTTGACTCTCAAATATGAAGTGCACCGCAGGCCGCAAATGTACTATTTAGCACCCAAACTGCAATGTCTCAGCAATGTTTGACGGTTCTATTTGACTCTTAGATATGAAGTGCAGGCACCAAATGTACTATTTTGCACACAAAACTTTTTAATTTTTAAAACTGTACTGTAAGCACAGTATTTTACGTTTCTATTTGACTCTCAGATATGAAGTGCACCGCAGGCCGCAAATGTACTATTTAGCACCAAAAAGTTAGATTTTTTCAACCAACAATGTAACAGTAATATTTAAGGGTTTTATTGGACTGCACCAAAGAAATTGCAGTATTTAAAAATGCCTAGATGTTGCCCACTGAGCTACCAGAACAGGATTAAAGTAATGTGCCTGGCACACATGCAGTTGCAGTCTGTGGTACTGGGCTCAGGGCAGGGTACAAAAATGTAGTGTTATAGCACCCACAAAAATTATCGCTGTAGTTTGCAGATTCAACAACAGAATTCTTTCCTAATCTTTCCCTGACAGCTGCAGCATCCTCTCCCTACACTAATAAGAGCTCATGTGCGTGAGGTGCTACGCGACTCCAGCTTATATATAGAGGCTGGGTCACATGCTGCACTGGCCAATCACAGCCATGCCATTAGTAGGCATGGCTGTGATGGCTTCTAAGGGCACACAAGTCAAACGCTTGTTGATTGGCTGCCCTGCAGCATTTCAAAACGCGCCATTAAATTTGCCAAACACCGAACTCCAACCCGAACATACACTGATATGTCCATGTTCGGGTCCGGGGTCCAAAAAACTTAATGTTCGGTACGAACCCGGGTTCGCTCAACTCTAATGTTTATGCATTAATATCTCTTTTGCAGCTATTCAAAAAAGGAAAGCAGTAAAAGTCATATAGAGGTTGAGAAATCCTATGTAGTTAATGGTTAAGTAAATGTGGTGTTCTAAATGCATACAGTTGCAAGAAAAAGTATGTGAACCCTTTGGAATAATATGGATTTGTGCACAAATTGGTCATAAAAAGTGATCTGATCATCATCTAAGTCACAACAATAGACAATCACAGTCTGCTTAAACTAATAATACACAAATAATGAAATGTTGCCATGTTTTTATTGAACATACCATGTAGACATTCACAGTGCAGGTGGAAAAAGTATGTGAACCCTTGGATTTAATAACTGGTTGAACCTCCTTTGGCAGCAATAACTTCAACCAAACGTTTCCTGTAGTTGCAGATCAGATGTGCACAACGGTCAGAAGTAATTCTTGACCATTCCTCTTTACAGAACTGTTTCAGTTCAGAAATATTCTTGGGATGTCTGGTGTGAATCGCTTTCTTGAGGTCATGCTACATCATCTCAATCGGGTTGAGGTCAAGACTCTGACAGGGCCACTTCAGAATGTGTATTTTCTTCTGTTTAAGCCATTCTGTTGTTGATTTACTTCTATGCTTTGGGTCATTGTCCTGTTGCAACACCCATCTTCTGTTGAGCTTCAGCTGGTAGACAGATGGCCTTAAGTTCTCCTGCAAAAGGTCTTAATAAACTTGGGAATTAATTTTTCCTTCGATTATAGCAATCCGTCCAGGCCCTGACGCAGCAAAGCAGCCCCAAACCATGATGCCCCCACCACCATACTTCACAGTTGAGATAAGGTTTTGATGTTGTTGTGCTGTGCCTTTTTTCACCACACATAGTGTTGTGTGTTTCTTCCAAACAACTCAACTTTGGTTTCATCTGTCCACAGAATATTTTGCCAGTACTGCTGTGGAACATCCAGGTGCTCTTGTGCAAACTGTAAACATGCAGCAATGTTTTGTTTGGACAGCAGTGGCTTCCTCTGTGGTATCCTCCCAAGAAATCCATTATTGTTTAGTGTTTTACGTACTGTAGATTCGCTAACAGGGATGTTTGCATTTGCCAGTGACTTTTGTAAGTCTTTACCTGACACTCTAGGATTCTTCTTCATCTCATTGAGCAGTCTGCGCTGTGCTCTTGCAGTCATCTTTACAGGATGGCCACACCTAGGGAGAGTAGCAGCAGTGCTGAACTTTCTCCATTTATAGACAATTTGTCTTACCGTGGACTGATGAACAGCAAGGCTTTTGGAGATACTTTTATAACCCTTTCCAGCTTTATGCAAGTCAACAATTCTTAATCGTAGGTCTTCTGAGAGCTCTTTTGTGCAAGGCATCATTCACATCAGGCAATGCTTCTTGTGAAACGCAAACAAAGAACTGGTGTGTGTTTTTTATAGGGCAGGGCATCTGTAACCAACACCTCCAATTTCATCTCATTGATTGGACTCCAGTTGGCTGACATCTCACTCCAATTAGCTCTTGGAGATGTCATTATTCTAGGGGTTCACATACTTTTTCCATGTGCACTGTGAATGTTTACATGGTGTGTTCAATAAAAACATGGCAACATTTCATTCTTTGTGTGTTATTAGTTTAAGCAGACTGTGATTGTCTATTGTGACTTAGATGATGATCAGATCACATTTTATGACCAATTTGTGCAGAACTCCATATCATTCCAAAGTGTTCACATACTTTTTCTTGCAACTGTATGTTGATCATATTAATGCTGAAATGGCAATGCTTTAATAAGAATGGTGCTGTATATAATGATGCTGCAAAGATAAAGCTTGGGGGATTTAGAGTAAGGTTACGATTAGGGGGTAATTCTGTGTTTTATTATTATGGTACTTAATATCAAGTTAGGGGTGTAATTGGGTATTCAGTATAAGGGTTAGAGTTAAGGTTGATTATAATTAGAGGTAACGCCCTTCAATGTTTTATAGACTATAACTCCCATACTTCTTAGCCAGGAGAACCTCAAAGTCCATCAACATTAAGCACCCCATACCTACATTAAGCACTTCTAACCATAAGTATCACTAAACCTACTCAATGCCATATGTTGCTTTAATATGTATCATTACTGCACCTGATACAGTGGTCTACTAGGTGCTGTAATGATAACTGCCATTAGAAATAAAATAAAAACAAGTCAACATTTTTAATAAGGCAACATTGTTTATGTTACCATTTGCAATAATACATTTTTAAAGTGAATCTTTAAATAGCCAACATGCTACCTTTATGCCCATTTTTAAGTGAGCCAAATGGTGAGGGGTTCCCAGTTATATAATAATAATAGTAATTATAATAATAATAATACTACACACTCCTTACTTGAACATATGCACTCTTATTAGTTCTCACAATCCCTACTAAACTGGCAGGCATGGCAGTGGCTTCATGCATATCCCACATCATGTTACTATATGGTGATTGGAGTGGAGGACCATACAGATAACACCCATATTCCTACCCACTATTAGAAGATGGGTGTAGGCTAATAATGTTAAAGTGTGAAGGGTGCCTAGATCACTTCAATTATTCAGCATGAGGGTCTCTTTGGTAGTGAGATTTCTGAAGCTAATTTTGCCCTATCCCCAAAACTATAGGATGGGGAACACAGCTGAAGTATTAATAATATTAATAATATCTATACTGC